AACAACAACAACAACAACAACAACAACAACAACAACAACAACAACAACAACAACAACAACAACAACAACAACAACAACAACAACAACAACAACAACAACAACAACAACAACAACAACAACAACAACAACAACAACAACAACAACAACAACATGAACAAGAACAAGAACAAGAACAACAACGACGACGACGACGACGACGACAACGACGACGACGACAACAACGACAACAATAATAATAACAACAACAACAACAACGACAACGACAACGACAACGACAACGACAACCACAACGACGACAACGACGACGACGACAACGACAACGACAACGACAACGACAACCACAACGACAACGGCAACAACGACGACGACAACGACGACGACGACGACGACAACGACCACGACAACGACAACGACAACGACGACGACGACGACAACGACAACGACCACGACCACGACCACGACCACAACAGCAACAACAACAACAACAACAACAACAACAACAACAACAACAACAACAACAACAACAACAACAACAACAGCTAGAGGGTTCCCGCACTTGAGACAATCTCAATGAACACGTGCCAGGCGTCTTGGCCATGAGCGGCGTCACTTCCAGGTCCGCTTCCATGTGCCGACTTGCTCGCGGCCTGGACGTCGACCCCTGAAAAGGGCCATTCAGTCCATATCGGAAGTTGGGAGATGTTTCTTCGCAAATGAGATTGAATATGTGGATGTATAGGAATGAGACACATCCGTTCAACTACGCACTTCCATGCAACCAGGCACGATCTGAGAGTAGTATCAGACTGCGCGTGGGTATTATTCCTGAAGAGTGGGTATTATTCCTGAAGCGTGCTGCCAGCGCAGCAATTGCACTGCTGCTCACAGCCCGCTTACATCAGGGCATATAGCCGGAAGCCACATTGCGTGCAAGACCCGATGTAGAGATATCAGCAAGCAATCAACCTCTCCAGCAAAAGCTGCGGAGAGCTGCTCGAACTTCCTGCTGTCCGCGCACGGACAGTTTCTTCATCGGGTTCAAGACGAAGTGCGAGAGTGATGATGAGTAGAGGTGGCAGAAGCAGAAGCTGTAACAGCAACAACAGCAGCAGTGCTGTTGGTAATGGTGGTGGCAGTAGTGGTCAGTGGCAGTGGCAGTGGCAGTAGCGGCAGTGCTAGTGGCAGTGGCAGTGCCTGTGTAGGTGCGGGTGTGTGTGTGTGTGGCTCTTTCCATTTGCTATGCGTTGGATGCTAAATAGGTTCCAGCATATATCTGTGCGCAAACAAGACGATAGTGCAAAATCACTCAGAGCTTGATGCTTGATAGCAACGCATGCACGGATCGTTCTGCCAAAGTGCAAAACGGGGTTATGATATACCACAAAATCATGATATGGCTGTGGCTCAACAAACCGGTACCAAAATGGAACCCTGGGAAGTGGAAACATACACCAAAACCTGCGTAACCCCTCCTGTTTAATTTTGAGCCACACCCAGAGGTGTGACGTGATAAGACGGTTTGCAGACCCTTCTTGTAGCCCATCTCAAGCCCTGAGCTGCAATCGGTGCCTCAGGCACTGCTCAGCACGCGCCAGGCGCCCAGAAAAGCGCCTCGTTGGGGAGCGCTTCCCCGGCTGTGGGTTCCGCTTGAGCCGCACTCGCTGCGAAAGGAACACCTTGCTGTGATGGGAGGAAGCTGTGAAACGTGGACTCCCAAACAGTGCCCCAATTGATACACGCCTAGCTTGCAGCAAAGCTTCAAAGGGCGGCCTTTTTTTCATAGGGGAGATCAGCCGAATCAGTCACTAGAAAAGCTGCGACTCGAAATCCAACATCCCAACTGCCATGGCTGATGCGTTGTTGCAAGCCAACCAACAGGAGTTCCCAGTGTGGCACAGTTCCATGTAGCACCACGTCCAACAGTAACAGCATCTTGATCCGAAACACAATCGAGAACAATTTAACAGCTGTTACTTCTAGTGTCCAATTGTGTGTGTGTGTGTGCCCTTCTACTGGTCACGCGCAATCTGAGGGTCTTGGCTTGTGAAAAAGGGGGGTGGATCTCTTAATGGGCAATCAAGGCTTTGGGAACGAGCCTCAGGATTTTCCCTTACAGGAAACCAGCTGGATGGATCACTTCGCGCTCATTCCCTCACATCCCCTGTCCAACCAGCAAGTTGTTTCTGCAGTGCGTCCTATGTCATAGGTCATCGGACCCTTATTTGGCTGGTCAAAAATATGTACCCAAAATGGGTTGTTGCCCTGGTAAATGGAAACATGGACCAAAACCTGCGGTTTGCCCCTCCTGTTTTATTTTGACCCATACCCATGTAGGGTGAGTCATCCTGAACAAAACCGTGCAGTCCGAACAAGAAACTGCGAAGCAAGGCCCTCTACCTGAGCAGATCTTCTCCACATTCTTGCCAAAAAACAACTCCCCCAGCCACCCCAACACCCCAGAAAAAGAAAAAATGCAAAAAGAAGGAGAAAAAAATCGTGCCTCGCCCTTCCGCAGCGTTGCCACCGCCAGCCGCGCCGAGTCCGCGAACTTCCCCAGGCGCCGCCGCTGCCGCAGCGCCTGGCGCTGTGAGAGAGAGCCCCCCCCCCAAAGTGGGTTGGATGCCCAGGCCTATGGACGAAATCCATTTCGCACCACAGAAACCCTGGTTTCTGATTCGATTCCCGTGTAAATACCAACAATGGATTCACCCATGGTTTCCAAGTGCAGGAGTTCGTCCATCCACAGGGATTCCCCAAACGAAGACTTGGCGTCCCATCCCATCCGGAACCCCAGGCCTCGCGAATCTGCTCGTGGGTGTGCAGCCTCTGGTCCATGGGGGCGAAGACCTGCACGACTCACCGGCGCAACAGCCAGTTGCACCCATGTGGGTCAGGGGTGAAGGGGGTTAGGGGGTTAGGGGGTTGGGGGGTTAGGGGGTTAGGGGGTTAGGGGGGTAAGGGGGTTAGGGGGGTTAGGGGGGTTAGGGGATTGGGGAACATAAGGAGATTGGATCCGATATCCGAAATGAATCAGCACAACTGTGACCAACTACGCGTCAGTCTAATGTCCAGCAGCAAAAGCAAGAACAAGAACGAACAGACACAGGACAGCCAACGCTATTTCTCTTCTGCAGTCGGGTGAGTTGGCAGTAACTCTGAGTCTGAGCCACTTTTAAGAAGTTGGCTTAGGCCTTGCAATTCGCACATGATTCACCTTGGTCTTGGAGAACACGCCATGCAAGCGCATCGATCATGTTGTCCCAAAAGATCTGGTCCAAAACAAGCCCCAACCTTTCAGGCCCGATTTTGTTCACTGAATACTTGGAATAGCCGCCCACCACAAATCCATATCCTTCCCAACTTGGCCATTGCGCTATTGTCGGTGTCCTTTTGCTTCCCCACCAAAAAGCCAGGGTGGAGTAGGAGAGGGGTTCTCCAATGTGATCTGGATTCCCTCCAAAATGGGACACCCGCCACACATAGACTTGAGCTTTGGATGTTTCTCAAACTTCGGACCCATCCAGAAAGCTCTCCGATTCCTATTTCGAGACACCGCTATTTATTGAGCACCTGGGTTCCTACTCGAACTCGCCAACCCCGCCTCTGCGGAGAGCCTGCCGATGCAGCGATCCCTGGCCTCACAACTTCCGCATCTCCCTCGAATTGTTCGACTCACGGCCCTATTTGGCCTGAGAATCCTGAGGCCTTGAAGCACGTGAAATGCTAACCCTGGCCAGAAGGAAAGGGCGGTAAGCCTCACAAGTTGGACCCTTCTGGGGGTTGAGGACGCGTGTTGCCCTCCTAAAGGAGCAGCAAAGTGGATCTCCGGTTGCCTCCTTTCATGAAAACATGTTCACTCTCACTTCTATGTTTGTCGTTTGCCTAATAGGGCTTCTTACTCTCCCCGGCTTCCCCTGATGTTTGCTTTCTTAATCCCTTCCCCCGTAAGAAAAATGAAACGTCCCCCCCCCCCAAATAGTAAAAACACCTCGGAGGGAGTTTTATTATTTGAGGTCGGCGGTTTCTGTTGGACAAGCGTTCCTCACATGGCGGTGGCTCAAATACATGTACCAAAATGGCACCTTGGTAAATGGCCCCGACTAAAACCTGCGTAACCCTAGCATTTGAATTTTGATCCGCACCCACCTGGCTCAAAAAATCGCCTTCAACATGGGATGCACCTGAGCGGGTGCGCTCACCATTTGGCAGGCGCTGGGCGCATGCACTTGAGCGTTTTTCACAAACGCCAAGGGCCGAGATGAAAGAAACCGCGGCTCCGTCGCGGGGCCAGATCCGCCCAGATCCGCCCAGATCCTTTTGCAGCCCCGATCCGCCTGAAGCACTGACCTCTCCGCTTCCTTCAGGTCTGCCGCCACCTGGAGCTCTTCGGCCCGAGCAGGGCCCCCTAAAAACGGGCCATCCTGAAGGGAGCCACCCACTTTGCAGAGGAGTCAGGCGGTGGTGCTGCTTTTTGTTCATTATCCTCTGTATTCCAAAATGGTTTTCTTGCAGGTGGTGATTTTTCCTTCCATCTTTATCTTTTGATCAAAGGAAGTTGAGAAGGAACTTCCGTGTTACGGCAACTCATTGAAAGCTAGCTCTCTGAGACAGATGACAAGAGAAGGAATAAGCCCGCGAGAAAAGATGCGTGTGTTGGGAGAATAGAAATGTGCAAAAAGCAGGGCCCTGTGCGTGAATTGGCGTCTCCAGAGAGCTGAAAGCTAGCCTGTTCGCGGCGCCTGGTCGGACCAGTCTCGGACCACGTTCGGACCACTCTCGGAGCGCGGGCCCATTGGCACGGCAGCGCAAAGGTTTGTGCAGATTTCGCGCAGGCGCGTCAGTTTCGCAAGGTCAAGTTTTCTTAAGGTTTGAATTGCGTGGCAGGCGCAGCACTTTGGCAAGGTCACAGATTTCGTGGCAGGGCAGCACTTTCGCAAGTTCAGGTACAGATAGATAGATCGGTAAATAGATAGAGAGATAGAAAGATAGAATGATGAACA